GGTAGACACCGCAAGCAAGCTCTCTTGACCGCCACTAACTATTGTCGACCGCCTCCACCCGCCTTTGACCATCACTGCTGCTTGCCAGCATCACTACCGCCAGCCACCACTATCGCCAGCAGTGGCCGACTTTTGTCGCCTCCCTGTTGGCCTAGCCATCACCGTTGTCCCATCCAATGTCGGCCACCCCTACAGCCACTCGCCGCCGGCCATTACCGACGCCCTGTCGCCCTCTACCGGCCATCGCCGCCATCACTCGCCTATCAACATCATCTTTAAAATTTAAACTATATTCATTTTAATTTAAATCAAATAAAAAAATATTCATATGAATTTATTATACACTCATCCAAACAACTCAAAATTATTTCTTTTATCTTGTTTTTTTTAGGCCAGCCAAATAGCCCCTAAAAAAGTTTATAAATAAGCTGAGCATGTTCATAAGGTTCCCGTGCTTGTTGGCATAATCTTCCTCAGCTCGTGAACTCTGATCAGCCTGCAGATTATTATTAATATTCAATAAGCATAGTTTATTAATTCTTCCTTTAAAAAAATTAGATAAATATCAAAATATTTAAATTTATTTGAAGAGAAGTGTTAGAGTAATAAAAAAAATTTATTGTTTGAATGCAAAATATATCAGGATGAGTTTTAAAGTCTTGAAATTTAGAGTTACTCATGAAATCATAAGCAGCACAAATCTCAATTAATCTAAATGCTAACCCATTAACCTGGCCCAAAAACTAAGGTTTAGCAGACCTGTTTAATGAATGGGTCTGATTCAAATTCGGTTCTTAACCTATTTATCAAGCGAGTTGGGTTTGGGTTAACCCGCAAATTTGCTTTTGAATAAAAAATGACCCATTTAATTTTTTCTTTTTCTTTTTTGGGATATAATCTTCTTTTTATTAAATATCCTAAATTTTATAGTTAATAAATTATTAAAAAAATTTAAAAGATATTAACTCGTCATGTTCGGGTTGAGCTTTTAAACCTGTTTATTAAAAGGATCATATATGAGTTTAAGAATCGTTAGAATTTTTTTCAAAATTAATACAATATAGAATATAGACTCTTCATATGAATTCTAATCTCAAAGCAAGTTTAGTGGTTCTCAAGTCCATCATGATCTAATGTTTATTGGGATAAATAAATAGGTAATTATTAAGTAAAAAATATATATATTGGAATATCTCAAACTTTTTTTTTTTCTTTGGAAAATGATTATATAATTTTAGAAATTGATTTGTGAACTAGAATTGTGTGTGTGATGATCTTTAACTCAAATGTTTATCATAAATTTTGCTTATAAAACTTTTGCTTCCTTCCTCAAATGTGTATAAATATGGGATGATCCTTTTATTTATCTCATATGAAAACCTAATTTTGCCACTATCAATATTATTTCTTATATATTTAAATTCAAAATATTAGGGTTTATTTCAATGGAAGATCATTATAGACAAGAAGTTGATCATGCTTAGGAAAAAAAATCATTTTATATGTATCTATTTATTTAATTGTATTATGAAGAATTTTTTTAATTAAACAAAGAATAAAAAAGAGAGGAGAATTTAGATACATATCATCTAAATATTAAGATTTATTATTTTATTATCGAAACTTCACTATATGCATACATAGCACTCAAAACATCAAAATAGAATAAAAAATATCAGTCTCATTACACTTCCCATCTCCCCATCACCATGGTGTTGGTTCCATCGCCCTTCACATGTAGACAATTACCCTTAAGCTCCCTTTGTTTTTGGGCTTCCTCTCCCCATCATTCACTTCTACATGAATTCTTGCACTATCGAAAAATAGGAATGCTTATGAAAAAAAAAAATTATATGTATCTATTTATTTATTTGTATTATGAAGAATTTTTTTAATTAAACAAAGAATAAAAAAGAAAGGAGAATTTAGGTACATATCATCTAAATATTAAGATTTGTTATTTTATTATCGAAACTTCACTATATGCATACATAGCACTCAAAACATCAAAATAGAATAAAAAATATCAGTCTCATTACACTTCCCATCTCCCCATCACCATGGTGTTGGTTCCATCGCCCTTCACATGTAGCCAATTACCCTTAAGCTCCCTTTGTTTTTGGGCTTCCTCTCCCCATCATGCACTTCTACAGGAATTCTTGCACTACCAAAAAATAGGACAATCTCAGCACTATTTTTGAGTTATCCCAGAGGTTATAACTGCCATTAAATTCTTAACAACAATTCTAAAATCGTTGCATGCCCGCTGTAATTGTTTTGCGCTGCAACAACATTCCACAGCAATTTAAGGATCGTCAGGGTAGATTTGACGCAACACTAGATATAGCGGTAGCTATAACCGATGCTAACTTGTAGATTTGACAGTGGTTTTCAAACTGATGCTAACAAGTATTGTGAAAAATCATATATTTTAGTAGTGTTGAAACCCTAAATAATAAAAAAGTGAGAAAATCGTAAGGAGATCTCAGGCAAGACATTAACTGATCTTAGGCGATGTGTAGAAGAAGCGAAGAAATTGTGCATGAGCTCGTTGGGAAAAAAACATCAATGGACCAAACAACGACAATATTATGATGATGCAAATAATGATATTTTTATGTTAAATATATAAATCCTAATATTTTAAATGATATGCATGTAAATCCTCTAAGAAATTTGACAGAGGATTCAAATCACATTAAATTTTATATTTACAATAACAGAAATATAAATTAAAAAATCATTTTTATTTCGTAATTTAAATATATTTTCTTGAAATATTTTATGATAAAAATAATTATATTTTAAGCTTCTGAAGGTTTCATTTATATTTTAATAATTTTTATTCAATTTTGGTTGAAATTGATAACAAAAATATTAATAAAATTTTAATTTTAATAATTAAACTTTACTCAGCTATAAAAAATTGACTAAAATTTTACTTCTACTACACCATTAAAATCACATTAAATTTCAAATTTACAATAACTTAAATATAAATTAGAAAATCATTTTTATTTCGTAATTTAAATATATTTTCTTGAAATATTTTATTATAAAAATAATTAAAATTTTCACCAGAATTAAATTTTAAAATCAATAAAGTTATTAATATAAAAAATCTTCTAATGAATAACAAATGAGCTCTAAAATATCAAAATCATATTTATATATGTGATCAAATGGCTGAATAAATTCAATTGTGATTGATGGTTTAATTAGCTCGAATTTTATAGCATGGAAAATGACTAATGAAGATATTTTAGATAACAATATTCAAACCAACCAATCAATCATGTAGCTTAAGTGTGTATGGATCTATTTGCGCAAATCTTGATGTAGATAGCTAAATTATTTTATAAGAATCTTGAGGGCAATAAATAGGCTCAAATGTATAAGATTTGAATTTTGCTCCAATTTGATTTCAAACGATAAGATTTTTATGTGAATGATCCTCTCAACATCACTAGTTTAATTCCAAGTATTTGTGATTAGCTTTATGAACTTCCCATTTTTATTTATTTATGTTGAATATTATTTAAGGTATTAAATCTATTTTTTAACTCATCAAATCAATGCATTTTCTATTATCAAAATGATACTTTCAAACTATTAAAAGTATACTAATTATAACATAAGAATTGTAAGAATAAAAATTATAAATAATAGGTTGTTTTTTTTTAAACATTATATGTGCATCAAATGGTTTGGAGATTAGATAGAGTTGTCTTAGATTGCAAAGGGTTTAATAATAATGGATTGAGACATATATCTATTTAAAAAAAAAAAAGTCAAACCTAATATCTTATCACCCTACCCTCAAATTCTAGAATATCTGTGAACTAAATGTCACGGTATCACCTATGCTAGCGCCGCAGCGCTCACTCAGCCAAATTCTAAAGCTCATGAGATCAACAAATTTGACATTGCTTACAACTTCCATGATGAGATTTTTACTCCACTATTCTTCTTTAACCAAATTTTAAAAAGAAACTTATTATATGTTAAAATTAATTTAAGGAGCGTGTTAAAAAAAATTAAAGAGGAGCAAAATAGCCAAAATTTAGCACATTTTAAATACAAGTTATTCAAAATGTGTCAAATCATTTGGCGTATTCAAATAATTTTTATTTTTTTTTTAAATTACACTTGTTAAGCTAATTTTAACAAATAATAAATTCCTTTTTAAAATTGGGCCTTCTTCTTCACCATATTTTATCCCTAGAATTAGTAGAATATCCATACATCATAACTTAATTCTCATTCTCTAGTACTTTTTCATAAGTTGCATTCTAAACTAAAATAGTTGTATTATACTAAAAGGCCACCAAGCTCTCTAGATACCACGTGGGCCCGAATCTACCACGCAATATGGCAAATTAATGCATCCGGTCACCGGACGAGCAGAATAGGTTCGGACATCCAATAAAAACATGCAACGTCACCTGCGCTTTTGACTGCGCTTTACCTGCTCTTTACATGCGCTTTATCTCTTTACCTGCGCATTTGATTCGCTTAATTTAAAATAATATTTTATTAATATCTGAACCTATCTTCCGGTCCGATGAGCGGATGCAATAATTTGCCCACGCAATATAGCATAATACATTATACTAAAAGTCTAAAATACAATCAAATGCCGGAGCAGCAGACATGAAAGCAACAACATGGTTGAAGAAGAACCGCTATTCATTCGCAACATCCAACTAACAGAAGCTTCTCATTTATTAACGCAAAATCAAACACCCATCGCTTCACACATCGATTAAGAATCGAATAATCTCAGAGTTAGGAGCTTAGCTGCTGCCCGCCACATTAACTCCACCACCAACATCCATCTGCCTCCATTAATGCTTCAATCTATCCCTTGGAGTTGCGTTTCTTACTTGTCGCTATGAACCAGAGAGGAAACTAAAAAATAAATCTTTTTGAGTTTATACCAAACAATTCAAATCGCAGCTTCTTTTTTTTTTCTTTTTACACACGGCGAAGATATTACTGGTAATTAAGAATGGGCGGTATTCTACTTGACCGACTGAAAGAGAAAATGAAGAGGGGGGAGTAATGCTTCCCCTGCTCTGTTTATAAACTTCACGTTTGTGTGGCTGCTGTACTCGTTCAGGCAGAAGATGATGAGAAAGGGAGATTGAGCAGTCCAACTCACGCAGAAAGCTCCTTCATTTAAATCTTCTTGCATTTCTCCTGTTTATATATCGGAGCTTGAAGAGCAAAAGAGAATCAGAAAGATGAAGAACGCTGTAATGGCGGAGATAGAAGCCAGCAAGCCTTCTAGTAATGGGTTGGTCGCCGGCGGGCTGAGTCCCCTGAGTGAAACGCTTTGGAGAGAGAAGACGAACACGGAGCTGCTCGGTGACGTCTCGGCGAGGCTGACATGGAAGGATTTGACGGTAACGGTGGCGCTTGGAAACGGAGAAACACAGTGCGTGCTCGAAGGGCTGACAGGCTACGCAGAACCAGGAAGTTTCACTGCTCTAATGGGGCCGTCTGGATCCGGCAAGTCGACTCTGCTCGACGCCCTCTCCAGCCGCCTTGCCTCCAACGCTTTCCTCTCCGGCGTTATTCTTCTCAATGGCCGGAAGACGAAGCTTGCCTTCGGCACGGCCGTAATTTCACTTTTTCTTTCTCTGTCGTACTTCTTAATTCCCCTGTTTTGAAGGTTCGATTGTTATTACATGGCTTTGCTTTGGTTACAGGCATACGTGACGCAAGATGACAACTTGATCGGAACTTTGACTGTGAGAGAGACAATAATGTACTCGGCGAGGCTGCGGCTGCCGGATAAAATGGAGAGGGAATCGAAGCGAGCGCTTGTGGAGGGAACGATAGTAGAAATGGGTCTTCAGGACTGCGCTGATACAGTCATCGGAAACTGGCACCTCAGAGGGATAAGCGGCGGGGAGAAGAGGAGAGTTAGCATTGCAATTGAGATTCTCATGAGGCCGAGGCTTCTTTTCCTCGATGAGCCAACAAGCGGTCTTGATAGGTACTAGTTTTACATAAATATGGCACCTTTTTGCTATAAAAAAGTGGTCTTTTTAAAAACTAAAGTTTGTTGGTTTCTGTTTTGAATTTGTTTGGCATGCAGTGCTTCTGCTTTCTTCGTAACTCAGACGCTGAGAGGATTATCAAGAGATGGGCGTACTGTTATAGCTTCTATTCATCAGCCGAGCAGTGAGGTGTTTGAGTTGTTTGATCAGCTTTATCTGCTTTCCGGAGGCAAAACTATTTATTTTGGGAAGGCTTCAAAGGCATATGAGGTACATAGAATCAGAAGAGATGTCTTCTCTTTATCTTTTTTTTTTTTTTTTGATTTTTTTTTTTTTTTTTTTTTTTTTTTTTTTTTGAAGTTTTATTTATTTGATGAGTATATTGCAGTTCTTTTCGGAAGCTGGATTCCCTTGCCCATCGCTGAGAAACCCATCGGATCATTTCCTGAGATGTATAAACTCGGATTTTGATAAGGTTAAAGCTACATTAAAGGGTTCAATGAAGGCAAGGGTAGGAATTTGAAGCCACTTCTCTTCCATACGTCGAAAACTTTTTTTTTTTTTCTTTAGCTTCTTTCATTTGTCCTTCAGTTTGAGCGGAGTGATGATCCTCTGGAAAAAATGACCACATCAGAAGCAACACGAAGGCTTACTGAATACTATCGTCGCTCTCAGTATTATTACACAGCAAGAGAAAAAGTAGATGAGATCTCTCGAGTTGTATGTTTTTGAATCCCGGATCATCTGATTGATTCAAAATGATTACTTTTTGAGGATCTGATTAAAAAAAAATTATTTTTGTTGCAGAAAGGAACTATTCTGGATCCAGGAGGAAGTCAGGCCAGTTTCTTCATGCAATCTTACGTTTTAACCAAGCGTTCTTTTGTAAACATGTCCAGGGATTTTGGTTATTACTGGTTGAGGCTTGTCATTTACCTAGTTGTCACTGTTTGCATTGGAACAATATACCTGAATGTGGGAACTGCATACAGCTCAATCCTGGTATGACTCTATCTGCAAGTAGATTTGAGAAAAAAAAACCATCTTTGACATTCAAAATTGCATTTTTATTCATTTTAAATCTCTTTTATCAATCTTCTTTGTGTCAAAACAGGCTAGAGGCGCTTGTGCTTCTTTTGTTTTTGGCTTTGTCACCTTCATGTCCATAGGAGGTTTTCCATCCTTTGTCGAAGATATGAAGGTCAGTTTTAGAAAAATAGGAAGGTTTTCTACTGCAAAATAGTTATTTTCAACTGCAAAATAATGGAGACCAATTTGGCAGCATTTATGTTTACTTTAAAGCAATTCCTTTCACAGGGAACCAAACAGCGAAGTAGGTATAAAAAATGTAGATAGCATTTATTTGAAGTAAATTTTTCATGATTCAGGTCTTCCAAAGAGAGAGACTCAACGGGCACTATGGAGTGTTAGCATTTGTTATCAGCAATACAGTTTCTGCAATGCCATTTTTAATCTTGATAACCTTTCTCTCTGGGACCATCTGCTACTTCATGGTGCGACTTCATCCAGGAGTTATCCATTATCTGTTCTTCGTGCTTTGCCTCTATGCTAGTGTTACTGTGGTTGAGAGCTTGATGATGGCTATAGCCAGTGTTGTTCCTAACTTTCTTATGGGAATCATCATAGGAGCTGGAATTCAGGTAATTTTCTCAATTTTTTCTTAATTTGTTTCATCATATTGTTTCATTATTTTGTAAATCTCTATATACTTTCATCAGTAAGGGCTCATTTTCTGTTATAGTTTTACTTGCTTCTCGGTAACTGAAAGCTCGAGTTGCTTTGCAAAAAAAATATTATTTTGAAAATCTATTCTTATAAAGCTTTGAAGCTGCTTCATAGAACAGTATTAAGTCTTCGTTTGGGACTGCTTTCTTATTTATTTTTAAAGCAGCTTTTTCATAGAAAAAATAATAATTTTTGAACTAGAAAGCTGCTTTAAGAAGCAAGTGACGAATACGGTGCTACACATTTATTGATGCATTATGCTGTCCTTTTTTCTGCTTTGAAAAATTCCAATTTTAACAATTATGATTCGAAACATCTTGTGGTTAAATTGTGGTGTTATTGTTCATGGAAGAAGAAAGCAATGTTCCAACAGCCATTTTGAATTGTACGAGAAGGTTAGTCAAGTGCTTAAAAGCTCATTATAGCATATGATGAACTCTCAATTTTCTCTTAAGATTATAGGAAAAATAAGCTCCAAATTTGTAATAAAAAGAACAGATGAATTTATGTTGGTGCCCCACATCTGTTTAGTTTGATGTTTGGATTTCATCTGCTTCTTGATGCGGTGCATCATAGCCTAAGACTATCTTAGGAAGAGTTTATCATTTAATATATATTTTCTAGACTTTTCTAGGAGCTTCTATTGCTAATTATTATATATAAGCTGTTGTAAAAAGGAAGAGAAGAAAGAATATTTTTAGATTTTAAGAGTTTTTACTGTTCTTGATTTTCTTGATCTTTAGGACCTGTGTTTTCTTTGATGTCTCCCTACATCAAATGATGCGGTGCATCATAGCATAGACTACCTTATGAACAATTTATCATTTAATACCTATTTTCTAGACTTTTCTAGTAGCTTCTATTGCTAATTATTATATATAAGCTGATGAAAGTTGGAAGAGAAGAATTAATATTTTTGGATTTTAACAGTTTTATTTTGTTCTTGATGTTCTTGCTCTTTAGGAGCTGCATTTTCTTTGATGTCTCCCTACATCACTTGTATTTTCTCTCATATTGTACAAAAGCATAATTCAACCTTAGATTCTGTAAGTTTTCGCTTGAGTAGATCAAAACTTGAATATATGAAGTATAATTTTAGTAGTATTAGACCTAGTTAGGGGATTGTGACTTTGGGCTATCAAGTCATTAATAAGAGTACACGTTTTAGATGTCTTGGATTTATTATTCAATGTGATGATGAAATAGATTAGGATATTATCAGCAGAATTCAAGTTGGATGATTGAAGTGGAGGAATGCATCAGGCTTGTTGTGTGATAGAAAAGTCCCCCTCAAACTTAAGGGAAAATTATTTAAGATGGTGGTGAAACCTACAATGCTTTATGGTGCCGAATGTTGGCCATTAAAAAAGAAGCATAATACTAAGTTAAATGTTGTAGAGATGAAGATGCTTAGGTGGATGAGAGACTTTACCCTAAGAGATAGGAAACGAAATGAGCATATACGTAAAAAGGTTGGAATAGCTCTAGTGGAAGATAAGATTAGAGAGAGTCGCCTTAGATCGTTTGGTCACATAAAACGACGGTCTTCCGATGACCCGATTAGGAAATTAGAGGTATTAGATTTGACTAATGCTAAAAAAGGTAGAGGTAAACCTAAAAAGACTTGGTTAGAAAATATTACAAAAAAGTCTTTCTTTATTAGATTTAAACTAGAATTTGACTTTTAACATGACACAATGAAAAAAAAGGCGTAGTGGGAGATGTTGTTGTTGTAGTACTGTACAAAAGCATAAAAATAAATGTGAGACTGTAACCTTTGCTTCTTCTTTTTTCAACTATCAGTCTGAAACATTCAAGAATGACTGAAAGAACTAAACTTTCACTCTCTTATATCAACAATGAAACAGGGAATTTTTATGCTGGTTTCTGGCTACTTCAGACTTCCAAAGGACATTCCGAAGCCAGTTTGGAGATACCCAATGTCATACATAAGCTTCCACTACTGGGCACTGCAGGTAATGTTAATCCCATATGACTGTTATGAAGCAATGGTGAAATAATAATCTCTGCAACTATTTTGCAATCTTCTTGCAGGGTCAATACCAGAATGACCTCAGTGGCCTCCTCTTTGATGGCCAGAGCCCATATGACTTCAAGATCCCTGGTGATTATATCCTCGAACAAGTGTTTCAGATCGATGTTCGTCGATCCAAATGGTGGGATCTGTCTGTTCTCTTCAGCATGATCATCATTTATCGCATCATCTTCTTCATCACCATCAAGATCAGTGAAGATTTTGCTCCCTGGATCAGAGGCTACATTGCCAGGAGGAGGCTTCAGAAGAAGCAAAACCTGAAAGCCTCAGCTGAGCTAGCAAACAGAACTCCATCTCTTCGAGCTTATGTCGTCCCACCGATAGCCAGTCAATCCAATTCATCAGAGACAGTTTAGTAAAAGCAATATGTTCTTTAATCTTACAAAGTATATCGTGTTTTAAATACTGGAAAGATTTATCAGGCTCTATGAGTGTTCTTATCACTTCATTTAAGAGTGGTATTCTCTTGCTTTTCTTTTTTTTTTTTTTTTTTGGATTCAAGGAAATGGAAGAAGAGGAAATGAATTCCTAACAACTTATGTGTTGATTATAAATGTGAAGTTACGGATTTACGCCATTTTTTTTTTTACCTTTTTTCATTTCATTTAAATTCCTAGCGTCCAAACATAATGGCTGGGATGTCAGTCTCATCAATCATACCAAAGTCTATCAACAAAATCACTTGTTTCAAGAAACTAAAACATACAACAAATCATACAGGAGAAGTTCACGGTTTAACTGATTGAAGTTTATTAAAGGCTATGTGTAATAGGTTATATATTAGTGTTATAATTAACCTGTATAAGATTACATGTGTTTGTAATGAGAGCTAGGCTATAAATAGCTGGCTCGGTACTCTGTTCAATAATAATAATATTTTCCTTCATTGAGTAATGTCTTCGTCTTTATGGTATCAGAGCTCGGCTCAAGAAGTTCTTTCTTGATTCGCACAGCTCGATCTCCATCGATCGTTATCCTGCCATTTTTTTTTTTTTCAACTCGCGTTCTTCGCTAGATCTAAAGAAGATCGGCGTTCATGGAGGATTCAGGCACATCACTATCATCAATCCCAAATGATACCATCGCCAAGGAGTACAATATACCGGCTGCTCTCAAATTTGTGATCTCGAATATCAAGATCATAGTTTCAACTCAGTTAACCTCTGAGAACTACGCAGTTTGGCGCTCACAAATCCTTAAACTCCTCACGGCCAACGGTTTTTCAGAGTTCTTGGATCAGTCGGCATCTCCACCGACCAGGTTCGTTAATCTACCTGAAGGGCGTCAAGAGCTCAACCCGAAATATAGAGAATGGGTTCTTGTGGATCAGAACCTAGCAGCAGCGATCTGTTCAACGATCTCACCAACCATTTTACCGTATGTCATTAATCTCGATTCAACTTCTCTGATCTGGGCGACTATCGAACACGTCTACAGTCGTCGAATAGATCAAGAGTAATACAGCTACGCAATGAGCTACATAACATCAGAATGAACAATCAATCTATGGTTCAGTATCTTACTCAAATAAAGACTATAGCCGATAATCTCTCAGCGGCAGGGATGAATCTTGATCAAGAAGATATCACTCTATATACGCTGAATGGGCTTCCATCTTCATATAATGCGTTCAAGACGTCGATCCGCACGATGCTTCAGCCGATAGATTTGGATAATCTTTACTCGCTTCTAATCAGCGAGGAGATTAATATTCAGGCCGATTCACTGAGAAATACGACTTTGCAAGAATCATCTACCGCCCTGTATACATTTCGGGGCAGAGGAAAAAGAACAAGAGGAAGAAATTCGTCTCAAACGTCAAGAACAAACCCCGGGCAGCCAGTTCAATGTCAGATTTGCAATAAAAGGGGACATACAGCAAACAATTGCTGGCATCGATCAAACCTGACTGTTAATCCTCCGGAGACGCAGAACACCTCATCCAGAGCAATGATAGCGCCAACGGAACAAGAAAATCAGGACTGGTACCTGGATTCTGGTGCGTCAGCACACCTCACTCATTCTCTGGACAACGTTTCTCAAGCCACCTCTTACAATGGTAACGACCATATCACCATAGGTGACGGCAGAAATATACCTATTGCTCATTCCGGCAACGGTATTCTGCCTACACCTAGCAGTAAGTTGAAACTTCAATCTCTATTTCATGTTCCAAATCTCTCATATAACTTGCTGTCCATTTTTCAATTAACAAAAGACAACAACGTCTCTGTTTATTTTGATACTAATGGCTTCATTATCAAGGACTTGAAGACAAATCACACCATTCTCTCGGGACCAAGTAGAAGGGGACTCTACCCGATCAGTATAAGCAAATCTCCGATGAATAAGAAGGCGCTAGCTGCAGTCTCCAACCCGGCTTCATGGTGGCATCAGCGGCTTGGACATACCACTCACCAAACGCTTCGTTTAGTTTCTAATACAAATAAATCTTTGAATATTCCCAAAAATGTTTCTGTGTGTGAAAATTGTATAGCCTCTAAAGGCCACAAACTAGTCTTTTCTCATACTGCAAGTCGTTCGTTAACTCCTTTACAACTTATACATACGGATGTCTGGGGACCATCCCCGGTGCCATCTCATCAAGGATTCTTGTATTACGTAGCTTTTATCGATGATTTTTCGAAATTTACTTGGGTTTTTCCTATACACAATAAATCTGATGTGTTTTTCAAGTTTGTTCAATTTAAAACACAGGTTGAAAAACAAACCAATTTTCAAATCAAATGTCTACGTTCTGATGGAGGGAAGGAGTACTTAAATTCGACATTTGCAAACTTTCTCAATCAACATGGCATTCAACATCAAACATCTTGTCCCTATACGCCTGAACAAAACGGATCGGCGGAACGTAAACATCGGCACCTCATAGAAATGACTAGAACTTTATTACATACGGCATCTATGCCATGTACATTTTGGCCAGATGCTGTTCTCACAGCATCCTATATCATAAATAGATTGCCCTCCATACACAATAAGCTCAGTTCACCTCTTCAATTGTTATACAATAAGCAACCAGATTACAAGTTCCTCAAAATTTTTGGATGTGCCTGCTTTCCGTGGATACCACCCGCTCAAAGACATAAGCTCGAACCACGCTCTCGGCAATGCATATTTCTGGGTTATTCATCTATATCCAAAGGATATAAATGTCTTGATCTTATTACCAATAAAATTGTTGTTTCAAGACATGTAATTTTTGATGAAAGCAAATTTCCTTTTCAGCATTCTGATTCTCAGATTACCATACCAGAACGAATGTCATCAAATCCGTCCATGCTGGTTCCAACACACGCCGCTGTACATCACAATCTCACGCGTCATCCTACAACATGTCACACTTCCCAGCAACAACCTACGACATCTCAGGAAGCAGTTAACTTTCCCCCCAACATCTCAAACAGGATCGGCAATACACCACGTGAAAACATGCAATCCAGTGATCTGCCTGTCACCAGACCAAACCTATCTAAACATCCCATGACTACACGATTACAGTCAGGTAAATTGAAACCCATTCAACGTCTTAACTTGCTGCATATGCAGAAGTCCCATACCACCGACACGTTGTCCGATCCAACAACGTATCAAGAAGCAAGCAAACACAGCCATTGGAGGGCAGCAATGGCAGATGAATTTTATGCACTTCAACGACAGGGAACGTGGGATCTCGTACCTCTTCCTCCAAATACATCTCCACTAGGAAGCAAATGGACCTTTCGTACCAAATACAACTCCGATGGCACGGTGGCTCGGTTCAAAGCGAGACTGGTTGCACAAGGAAATACTCAACAATACGGAGTGAACTATCTCGAAACGTTCAGCCCCGTAGCTAAGTTTACTACCATTCGCACATTTCTTACAATAGCTATTCATTTTAATTGGCCGGTTCATCAAATTGATATAACAAATGCTTTCTTACATGGTAATTTAAATGAAACCATTTTTATGAAACAGCCTAAAGGATTTGAGGATGACAATCAACCGAACTATGTGTGCAAACTCAATAAAACAATTTATGGTTTGAAGCAATCTCCTCGAATGTGGTTTCATATGCTCTCCACTCACCTCCAGTCGATCGGGTTTGTCGCTGGGAAAGCAGACAGTTCTATGTTCATCTTCTCCAAAGACGATGTGCAATTGTTCATGGTCATCTATGTAGATGACATATTGCTCACAGGCAATAAAAACGAGATGATCACATCCACCATAACTCAATTGAAGACCAAATTTGATATGAAGCATTTGGGTCTTGCTCATAGTTTTTTAGGCATACAAATCACCAGAACAAACAATTCCTTCTTTCTCTCTCAGTCTCAATACGCCAACACCATACTCGATACAGCTGGAATGTCCAACTGTAAACCGTTGGCCAATCCATCCTATACAAAAACTCCGGTTCCTCTGGCGCAGGAAGTTCTCGGGAATGATCCTAAGCTCTACAGGCATCTAGTGGGATCACTTCAATACCTAACGCTCACTCGACCGGACATCTCTTTTGCTGTCAATTCACTTTGTCAACACATGCATAATCCAATATCTTTAGATTTTCTGTTATTAAATCGCTTATTAAGATATATTCGAGGAACACTAACTTACGGTTTGCCTATAACGCAGGGTGATCTTGTGTTACAATCATTTTCGGACGTCGATTGGGCTGGAGACAAAGATACGAGAAGATCCACAACTGGATACTGCACGTTTCTTGGACACACTCTAGTATCATGGAGCGTCAAGAAGCAACATACTGTGGAAAGATCATCAACTGAAGCGGAATACAGGGCCATTGCTACGGCACTTACATACATTATTTGGCTGCGCAGACTATTACTCGACTTCAACATCTCTCTCACCATGCCGACAACTCTCTATTGTGATAGTACATCTGCAATTGCACTGGCCAACAATCCAGTGTTTCATGCTCGAACAAAACACATCGAGATCGACCACTACTTCATACGAGATCATATAAATTCAAAGACTGTCAATATATTCCCTATCTCTACAAAAGATCAAGTAGCCGATATTTTTACCAAACAACTTTCCACCTCTCGGTATCAGATTCTTCGTGACAAGCTCACGGTTCATCAAAAAACCATAAGCTTGAGGGGGTGTATTAAAGGCTATGTGTAATAGGTTATATATTAGTGTTATAATTAACCTGTATAAGATTACATGTGTTTGTAATGAGAGCTAGGCTATAAATAGCTGGCTCGGTACCCTGTTCAATAATAATAATATTTTCCTTCATTGAGTCATGTCTTCGTCTTTAAAGTTGATGATATAATAAATAATAATATTATTAATATTTAATATAATAATGATGTTATCATTATAAATATGAGATAAAAAATTAAACGAAATAAAAAAAAATGAAATATAAAACTTATATAATTGATTAAAAGAATTATTTTTAAAATCTCATATAAG